CCCTGGCTCTCTTGAATTCTTGCCAACACCCACCAAACCTACCGAATCAACAAACTTGTACTCGGGAAGAAACCTCAGGCATTGTCTAGAACAAGTACAGATGCTACTTCTTTACAAAATCCAGTCCCCACACCCTACTGGCAATGGAAATCAGAGGAAAAGGATTTGGGTTTGCTTAATCAGATGGGACCGAGACCCGAAATACCCTTGTCCTGAAGTTGTTTGTCTGTAGCATCGATCTTTTCCTTGGGCGTATAATCAATGCTACGCGGTGCTTGTACCGTTGCGCAGTCAATGAATTAATGGCTCAAAAGGCTGTTTCTCTGCTGGCATGTGTAAATGCATGGTATTCATCTATTTGTTATCTAATTGTAACTTGTTTTAGAATAGAAAAGCATTTCTAGTAGTGTTAAATACTTAAATCACAGATTTTTATAAAAAATTATTTTTCAAAATTGTGTTTTTACCGTAAGAAATACGAATTTATCAAACTCCCTTTTTCTATAGTAATTTATTAAAAGTATTTTAATAATTTTGATGTCCAAATTACAAATCCAAATTTAAAAAATAAAATTCCCTTGATAAAATTTATAATCTAGAAGTTGCAATCAGCTTCTAATGGTGTAGTAAAACTAAAAGCTTTTAATAGATTTTATTTTACTCAACTTTTAACTTTTGCAACAGAAAATCTTTGTATCCAACAATTAACTAGGTGTAATGTGAAAATCACGTTATCTTCTGCCCCAGGTATGTTGGAAAACCTTTACCCAAATTAATGGACAATTTGTTGAGAATTCTTGTGAGAAAAGCCCTCTCACATGGCTTCTTTTATATGCTTCATCATTCGATTAAAGAAAACACCTTTTCCCGTATTTTTGTTCTTATTCTTAACTGTTTTTTAGAAAATGTATATTCAATAGTCTGAGTAGAAGAAAGCTTCAAGAATGATGAGCCGTGTACATAGTATAATGTAGTGTAGGTGGCAGAGGCTTCATGCAAAAGTCAAAAGGACAAGGGGAAAATGCAAAGAGAAGAAAAGTGATAAAGTATTAAAGAAGATTTATATTGGTTGGTTATGCATTCAAACATAACATGGTAAGGCTGCGGTTTTTTATGGGGTGCGTCAGGACTTCACAGAAATGGACATTAAAAGAAGCAACGGCTATGGGCCCAGAAGTAAGTTAATAATAGTTGTTAGATATTATTATGGCTTAACCCTCGGAAGCCCTCTAATTGTTCGGCTTTAAGACTGTTAGCCCTTGAATATATACTTTGTGTACTATAGCTCATGCTGTTGTTTTAATTGGTCTAAATTAAAAAAAAAAATCTTATCATGTGAGTTGTATGGCTATCTCTACTCCATTACTTGCCCTTGTCAGTGTCATGCGAGTATAAATATGATTCATTTAAACTAATGAAAGTAGTAAAAATCCTACTTAAGTTGACATCCATGTGTGCTTTGAAAAAGATTTTTCCACCTCCATGGGTCTAAATAGGTAGGATGATGAAGTTAAAAGTAGTTATGATGAGTCATGTAATGAGATGCTATCTATTTTAAACTAATTACAGTAATAAGATGAAGGTTATGGGTTAAAGTAGTTAAAGTGTATATTGAGGAGCTAATGGTCTCAAATACAAACAGTCAGAGGGCTTGGGGGTGTAATCCCGCGTCATTGTTTACTGCTCTTTGTTCATTGTTGCTTATTCTCTCACCCATGTGCTTTTAGACAGTGTCAAAGGAGCCTTATTCTATATATATTCTTCAGGAGACTCAAGCCTCAACCACTCTTCAGACCCAGAGACAAAGGTTAGAGCTTTCTGTTTGTTTTCTCATTTAATCTTTAGTTCTTCATTCTCTGTTGCATTTTGCTCATAAACCTCGCATTATCTTGCCGTTTTTCATGGATATTGCTCCACAATCTATTCTCTATTTCTTGCTTCATAAATTTTTTGTTCTTGTTTTACTGAATTTTTTCATATCCTTGGTTGTGCAAGGAATTATGTCTATTTTGGGCATCATTTTGTGGTTCATCATTTAGCAGAAAACACTGGGACATTAACCATTGCCCAAATAAGGTTAAAAAAACCATAATAAGGATTAAGGTTAAAAATATTTAACGTAGTTTCCAGTGTGGTATATAAATTCTAAGGTTTTAATGAGCAATGCAAGAAAAATTTCAAGTTATTGGTGCTTCTTCTTGCTTATATTGCTTGTGGAATGCGATTTCATTCTCTGATTGAGAAAAATGCATTTAAGAAAAAAAAAAATTTCCATGGGAAACACCTACCTATTTCGTTAAGATGCATTTCAGAAAGATTTGGTTAGATATTAGTTATCAACATTTCAGAAGAAACTATGAATCAGCAATATATTTGACTGCTATTTAGTGTAATACCAACTGGAATGAAAAAATTCTTGTTTCTTGTTATTTTGAATAATCGAATTTATGTAGGAAACTGCGAACCTTACAAGAAAGATGCATTCTACTTTTCCTAATTCAGTGCTGCTGTGTTTCTTTCTTTCTTTTTCTTTTTCTTTTTCTTTTCTTTTTCTTAAAATTTAAAATCTTTTTATAATTTTTGCAGCATTGTATGCAACTTGGAGATGACAGTATAGAATTAATAGGATAATTACTTCAACAACATTGTAATAAAGGGCAGTAAATATGAGAGAGTCTGCTGTTGGAGTTGAGGCCACAGCAGCACATAGAAAACTAAGCAACCCTGAAGTGGGTCAACTGGGAGAGGTTCCAATGTCACCAGAACCAAGGGATGCAGATTGTTCTGCAGAAAAGAAGAAGTCACTGCGAGCCAGATATTTATATGGCCTGATCTTCTTGATAATAAATCTTATTGCCTGGTTTGTTCGTGACTATGGACAAAATGTTTTACCTCATATATATTGTAAGTCAATGTTCTTCCCTCTCTAAACTCTTACAAATTGTGCTCTTCTTGTGACAGTCTTTTTATAAATTTTCTTCAATCATTACTGGGATGGTTAGTTTAAATTTTAAAGCAAATTCTGGGCTTTGAAGCACACACTTCATCAGGAAACTTGGAATTTCTTTTATTCTTCTGTTCGTATTTGCAACAGATTATAATGTAATGACTTTTTTTTCTGCATTTTCTTTTTGTTTAAAATATGTTCTTTTTACAGATGTAAAAGCTTGTGGGATTCACGGAAGTGATTGTTTTAGTACTTTGGGAGTACTTCGTGTGAGTTTAGGATGCTTTGTATCCTTTCTTCTCTGAGTACAAGTAATACTTCATTCAGTGCAAGGGATTATCAAACATACTGTGTCTTTCTTATATTCCTTTTTATTTATTTTCCTAATTCCTTCTCATGTCCTAATATTATGTTTTCAGACACACTTATGTAGGAGTATTGGAGTCCATGCTGTATTTGAAACCAAT